AGGAAAGGGAGGAGGATGAAGGAGGAGGAAGGAGGAAGAGGAAGAGAGGGAGGAGGAGGGTGGAGGGGGAGGAGGAAGAAGGAGGAGGGAGAGAAAGAGGAAGGGGAGCAGAGGGAAGAGAAAGGAGGAGGAGGAACAGGAAGAGGAGCAGGTGGAGGACTGCTGTTTATGGAGCAGTACATGTCAGGCACTGGGCTGCTGGTTCTGCACGTGCCCCTGAGTTCTACCTGTCACAGAGGAGTCCAGGGGTATACTGACTGTTGTTTATTATTAATCTGCCTGGGCCTCCATAACAGGGGACTGCAGGCCGTGGCTTAAAGGCAGATATTGATTGTCTCCTAGTCCTGGAGGCTGGTGGCTGAGGCCAAGGTGTCGGTTGGCAGGGCTGGTTCCTCCTGAGCCTCTCTCCTGGGCTTCTTCCTGGAACCTCTCAGGGCTATCCCCCTGTGCCTGTGTCTTCATCTCCTTTCTTAGGAAGACACCCATCCTATGGGATTAGGACCCACATAGTGACCTCATTTGACCTAACATCCCTCTTTAAAGGCATTATCTCCAAACATAGCCACATTCTGAGGTCCTGGGGATTAGGACTTCAACTTATGAAAGGGGCACAATTCAGTGCTTACCATATTGTCATCATTTTACAGGAGAAGCATGGAGCTTGGATGGGGGATCACGGCCCCGAGCTACATCCTTAGACACAGTCCTATTGGGATTTAGGGGCTAGATGTTCCTCCTGGAGCTGGACAGGGCTGGGTGAGAATGTGAACCTTGCCTGGAGAGCATTCTTGTCTATCGAGAAGGATGCTGCTGTCTCTCCCACTGGAGTTTCCTGGGGAAAGCCGGAGGCCTCCAGGGGTGGCGGTACCTTCCTGGGTCTCTCCAGCCACTGGGCAGATAGTCAGGGGACAGGGGTCATGGGTCCAGAGGCAGAGGAATGGCCACAGTGGCCCAGGGGAGAGTCCAGAGAATGTGTAGAGCAGGGAGCCATCAGTCCCCATGTGGAAGGAGACCCTGCTGGCATTGCAGTCCAGGGTGATGGCCACCCACTGGAGGGGCTGGGTGAGCTGGAGGTGCGTCCTGGGGTAGGACAGGGCCTGGCAGCGCTTCTGGTACAGCTCCAGCACCCAGACTCCATGCTGTGGGGCCTTGGGAATCCTGCCTTTTCGATCCAAGCCCTCTACACACACGCCCAGCATCCAGGCCTTCCTGTTGCCCACCTCCACCTCCCAGTGATACCTCCCAGTCAAGAAGCGCTCCTGGCCCAGGACGCAGGGCTCCTGCTAGAACCACCCAGGGCTGGGGTCAGGTCCCACGAGAACAGCAGCCACCACACACTTCTCCCATCCTCAGACAGGCTGAGCTTGGGGCTCGTGGTGTCCAGGTCCAGCTTCAGGCTCACTGTGGAAAGGAGAGGATCATGTGTTTGGGGCTTGGGGTGCCTTCCTTGCAGATGCGGAACCCCGAGGCTTATCTCACACACTGGGACATCCCCCGCCATCTCTGGGAATCACTTCACTGTCTCTGTGTCTTGTGCCAGGAGCTGTCCAAATAGTGTGTCCCTAAGAGATCAGGACACATGCAGCCTGGGGTTGGGAATGGGAGCCTGGCAGAAGGCTCCAGGGAGGCGAGAGTGTGGCCAGTGTGCGGGCAGCCTGGGTCACTTCCCAGGATGTGTACCCTGCTGCTTTCATAAGCTTGTGCTGGTGGGCAGGGTGTGTATGAGAGCAAGATGGAGACAGAGAGAGACACAATGAGAGAGACATACAGAGAGACAGAGACAGGGAGAGACAGGGACAGAAAGAGAGAGACAGACATAGAGAAAAACAGAGAGATATAGAGACAAAGACAGAGACAAAGTCAGAGAGACAGAGAGAGACCGAGACTGAGAGAAACTGAGCTGAAGGGAGGACATGGAGACACAGCAAGTTCACTGATCACCAGCCAGTGCATCTGGAAAGCCCCAGGAGGGATCCCAGCAGCCCTGGATGCTGAGACAAAGGTCTTCCCAATCAGCCCACCTCTGCAAGAAGCACTTTTCTCTCCTTTCCCCAGTCCTTGTCCCACTTCCTTAAGGGCCACCCTTCCTCTTCAGACCCTCCGTCCATGGGGGTCCTCTTGCCTGCTGTCTCAGAGCGCCCACCCTTTGGTGCATGACCTGGGGGTCGAGGTCCGTCTACACTCCAGCTCCCTAAACTAGAGGCAGTGAGGGCCAGCCCGGGCGCCCGGCTGTTCCAGGTACCACATTTCTGACACCTGAAACCAGCACTAGGTGACCCACCCTGCTCCTTCAGAAGTTCTGTGTGCTGCTGTGGGCTTGGTCTCCGATCCCACGTCCCAGGCATACATCATTTCCCGAACGCTCATCTCCATGGACTTGAGAGCATTCACGGTCTCCGTTATTAAAACTCCAGCTTCCCCACTAAATGCCTCTTTACCTCCTTCCTGCAAGGAAGCCCTGCTCCCCTTTGCTTTTATTTCTTTATTTCCCTCCAAACATCCCCATTGCTACTTCCCGCCTTTCTTCTCCTCCCCACCCAGTTCTCTGTTCCTTGAGCCTGAGCTGTGGGATAGAACTGTTGCTGTCGCTTCTCCCTCACATCTATACACCAGCCCCCCAGCTGCCTCTTCCCCACTGAAGAATTAGTCCAGCTCTTCGTGTTTCCCTCCACCCGAAATGCTGTCATCATTTAAGGAAGTTTCTTATTCACATTAAAATTATTCCAGATTTACAGTGACAAAAAGCATAAAGAATATGGCATATGATAACATCTTGCATAGCCATAGTAAAATGCTCAAAATCAGAATATGGACATTGACATAGCTTTATAAAATATCTATTTCATAATCTGCAGAGCTTATTCACATTTTGCTAACTGTCCCTCCCAAGTCCTCCCACTGGTCCCATCTCCAGCCCAGTCAGTTTTGCCTTTCCTGGTCCTTGCCTCTCCCTTTCCACAGTGACTCTTCTCTGTACTTTTTTTTTTTTTTTTTTTTTTTTTGAGATGGAGTCTTGCTCTGTTGCCCAGGCTGCAGTGCAGTGGTAAGATCTCGGCTCACTGCAACCTCTGCCTTCCAGGTTCAAGCAATTCCCCCGCCTTAGCCTCCTGAGTAGCTGGGATTACAGGAGCCTGCCACCATGCCCAGCTTTTCTTTTTTTTTTTTCATATTTTTAGTAGAGATGGCATTTCACTATATTCACCAGGCTGGTTTCGAACCCCTGACCTCAAGTGATCTGCCCCCACTTGGCCTCCGAAAGTGTTAGGATTACAGGCATGAGCCACCATGCCTGGCCTCTTCTCTGTATTTCATGAGATCATGTCCTGAGGTGAAAAGTCAGATTTCCCTGCTATCTGGGGTAACAGCATCCCCAGAGCTCCCCATCTTAGGAAAGCAGACTCCCTCAGCATCTCCCACATGCAGGATGGTTGTTGCCATAAGTTCTCCATGCCTGGCTCTCCCAGGGTTTCAGAAAATAATAAAGAAGGAGCACAGGCTGGGTGCCATACCTGTAATCTCATACCTGTAATCTCAGCACTTTGGGAGGCCGAGGCGGGTGGATTACCTGAGGTTAGGTGTTCCAGACCAGCCTGGCCAACATGGTGAAACCCCATACCTATTAAAAATACAAAAAGTAGCCAGGCGTGGTGGCAGGCATCTGTAATCCCAGCTACTCGGGAGGCTGAGGCAGGATAATTGCTTGAACCCAGGGGGCGGAGGTGGCAGTGAGCCAAGATCATGCCACTGCACTCCAGCCTGGGCGACAGAGCCAATTCTCCAAAAAAAAAAAAAAAAAAGAAGGAACTCAGCGTTTCTTGTGGCAGCTAAAACTTGACTTTTACAAGGCTGTGGCTGCCTGTCACCAGCATTTCTGCTCTCTAGAATAGATGGGAACACACACACGTACACGCATGGTCACAGGAGCACATATGCACACACACGCACACACTTACATGTACACATTTGCACACACACTCATGCACACTTGCACATGTCTTTACACACATGAATGTATACACTAATATGTATACATATGCAAATACATATGTAAACTAATACACATGTGCACATACTTTTGGCACATTGCACTCTTGCATACACAAACGTGCCCTGTACATGGATATGCACACTCGTGAACACACCCAAACATAAATGAACACACAGAAACACACATGCATGCATGTGTTTACTTGTACATGCATGCATGTGCTTACCTGTACAGTCATGCACACACTCACATATGCATACACAGTCACACTCATTCACATGCAAACACACCTGCACACATGCAGCATATGCTCACAATCATGCACATGCACAGAAACACAGACATACATGTACATATGTGTGCATACATGAACACATGTACGTGCGTGTACCCATCACACAGATGCACACACGTTTGCACGTGCACACATGTATGCACACAGTGCTGGAGTGCAATGGCACCATGTCACTGCAACCTCCGCCTCCTGGGTTCAAGCATTTCTCCTGCCTCAGCCTCCTGAGTAGCTGGGATTACAGGTGCCCACCAACATGTTCGGCTAATTTTTGTATTTTTAGTAAAGATGGGGTTTCGCCATTTTGGCCAGGCTGGTCTGGAACTCTTGACCGCAAATGATCTGCCCACCTCGGCCTCCCAAAGTGCTGGGATCACAGGCATGAACCGCTGCACCTTGACTTTTCTTTCTTTTTTCTTTCTTTCTCTTTCTTTTTCCTTCCTTCCTTTTCTTCCTTCCTTCCTTCTTTTCTTTTCTTTTTCCTTCCTTCCTTCCTTCCTTCCTTCCTTCCTTCCTTCCTTCCTTCCTTCCTTCCTTCCTTCCTTCCTTTCTTCCTTCTTTCTTTTCTTGTCTGTCTGACAGGATCTGGCTCTGTCACCCAGGCTGGAGTGCAGTAGCACAATCACGGCTCACTGTAGCCTTAAACTCCTGGGCTCAAGCGATTTTCCCACCTCAGCCTCCTGAGTAGCCGGGACAACAGGCACACGCCACCATGCCTGGCTAATTTCTTTTTTCTTTTTTTGTAGAGATGGGGTCTTGCTATATTGCCCAGGCTGTCCTCAAACTCGTGGCCTCAAGCAATTTTCCCACCTCAGCCTCCCAAAATGCTAGACGACAGCTGCAAGCCACCACAAACGACTCTATCATAATGCAGTCTTTACAACCAGCTGCAAATAGGGCTCTGAAGTCTAGGGACAAGTCCTCAACTCCTGAAATGACAGAGGAGGAAGTGAGTGAAGTGAATGAATGATGGACACAGTCAATATTGAGAATAATCACAATGATTGCAACTGCAAACCCTCCCCTATGCGGCCCCTGCTCTAAATGCTACTTTGTTGGTCACTGCAGCACGCTTTCAGGATGGTATCAGCACTCCCAGCAGACAGAGTGGCTCAGGGCTCACACCAGGTCCCTCAGCCCACACCCATCAGACTTGGGGTTCAAGCTCAGATCTGTCCGTTTTCAAGAGAGAGTCCAACCAGCCTGCCCAAAATCAGCCAGTGAAGACTAACCAAGGGATTGCTAGGAGACAGATGGTCTCACTGGCTAGATCATAATCAGGCAATTCCAGAGTGAGGATCCTCATCGGCCATCCCATTCCTACTGTGTTTGAGGACACATGGATGAAGCCTCGGCTCAGGGCTTCGTGTTAAGGTCCTGGGTCTGGGGGGTGGGCAGGATGTGCCTTGTCAGGGCTCCCTGCTCACCTCTCATGGCTCAACCTCGTTGCTGCTGGTGGGTCGCCTCTGCTCCTTTTCTCTTCGCGCCCTCTCTTCTTCCAGCGATGCTTTGTTCTTTTCCCTTTGACATTTCCAGAAGATGCGGATGCCTCCAGCTATTACGAGTCCCACTGCAACAAGGAACAGAGGCAGAGCCGCTTTCCATGCCACGAACTCGGAGCTTCTGGAGAAGGTAGCTAGAGAAGATTCCCAGAAGCCAGGAATATTGGGGTGAGAGAGTGTCTGTGTTCTGAGGTCAAACTCGCTAAAGGGTTCACGAGTCCAGGGACATGATATTTGCAAATTACTGTGAAATAGTTTCCAAAATAGTATGTATTTGCACACGTGGTGCTATGAACTGAATGTCTGTGTCCCCCAAATTCCCAAGTTGAAATCCCAAACCCTACGGTGATGATGTTAGGAGGTGAGGCCTTTGCGAGGTGATGAGGTCATGAGGGTAGAGCCCCCATAATGGATATGATGGGAATGGTGCCTTTATAAAGGGGAGAGCCTATAGAGCTCCCGTACCCTTTCCACCATGTGAGGACACAGTGAGAAGGCGCTGTCTATGAACCAGGAAGCACCCTCCCCAGACACCAAATCTGCCACGCCTTTATCTTGAACTTCCCAGCTTACAAAACTGCGGTCAATAACTATCTCTTGTTTCTAAGCCACCTGGTCTGTGGTATTTTGTTATAGGCACACAAATGGAGTAAGACAGTTGGGTATAGATATATGCATAGGAAGTAGATATTAGATATCTATTTGTAGATAAGAGAGAAGTGATAAAAAGAAATTTCACAATGAGGTAGAAATGTGAATCTGAGTAAAGGATGCACAGACAACTTCTCTATTAATCTTGCAAATTTTCTGTAAGTTTGACATCATTTAGAAAAGTAAAAGTGAAAGTTTTTGTGAAAAGGTAAATTTGGAAACAACCAAGATATTTTTTAGTAGGTGAATGGATCAATAAACAGTGGTCCATCCAGATTCTGGAACATTATTCGTTTCAAAGAAGAAACAAGTTATTAAGGCATGAAAAGACATGGAGGAAACCTAAACGCCTACCACAAAGTGAGGGAAGCCAGTGTAAAGGGGCTACAGAGGCACAATTCCAACTACAGGACATTCCAGAATGCCTGGAACTATGGAGACAGTGAAAACATCAGTGGTGGCCAGGAGTTAGGGAAGAAGGATGAATGAGCGGAGCACAGAGGATTAAGTGCAGTGACATTATTTTGTATGATACTATAATGACAGATATGTGGTGTTATATATTTATCTAGAACCATGGGATGCCATGCCAAGAGTGAGCCCACATGGAGACTGCGTACTCTGGGTGCCAACGGCATTGTCAACGGAGGTTCATCAATCATGGTGGACATTCCTTCTGGTGCAGGGTTTTTTTGCTGGGGGAAGTTGTGTCAGGGGGTTAGGGGAATATGGGAACTCTCTGGACTTTCTACTAAAATTTGTTGTGACCCTAAAACTGCTTTAAAAAATAAAGCCTATTTTTAAAAACCCTAAAAACCATTGATATTAGGGTGTACATTTCTTGTTCCCCCAAAGGCAAGGCTCTCTCCAGTGTCCCTGCACCCTTATCTCTGTTCCTCTTCCGTAATCAGCACCCAAGCAGTGCACCTCCCAGGACGCCCCAGCCAGGTGAGGACAGGGACCTGCCGCCCGTTCCCTCTTGCCACAAGCCCCACAGCTGTCTCTTAATGTCTCCAGTGTCCAGGGCCACGGAATCTTGTGCTTACTGATTGTGAGGACAGAACTGAACAGAGGACTCACCGGGCAGGTGACTTTCGGCCACCTTCCTCCTCTCAGGGAGGAGAGGGCTGGAGATGGAGCAAGAGAGACCCTCCACAGCCCTGTCCCAGAGCATCAAGCTGGACGTCACAGCCCAGAGACCTGTGGTGGCCGAGGCTGAGAGATTGGTCACAGCAGGCCTAGCCTGGCCTCTGAAGTCTCGCCATTCCACCCAGGGCTTGGGGAACCAGCCTGCTAATGTGCACTCTGCCTTGACTCCATCCTGCTGTTCCATCACCTGGATTCTGGGCTCCGTGCCCAGCCCTGAAGGAAGAGACAGCGGCTTGAATCTTTGCAGCCATGGCTGCTTCTATTTAAAGGAAAAACAAAATCTTGAGGATTTCCAATGTATTTTGGCAATTTCACAAACTGCCTACCCTGTATCACATGCCATCCTTAACAGAGTTGCCCCATTTCCCAGACAGAATAGGGCAAGCAAAACGGAAAAGGCCCAGGAAGATTGAATAAGCATCCTGTGTTGCAGAAGTAGAATTCACGGCACAAGATGGGACCCAGGCTTGTCTGCTTCAAAGCACAAGTTCTGAGTCACTCGGGAAACCTCCTGTATTTCAAGACTCTCTTCTCTCTCGGTCTCTCTGTCTCCTGTCATTATTTCTCTGTCTCTCTCTTCCTCCCCATTTCTGTTGCTTACTCTCTTTCTCATTCTCTTTTACTGTCTCTCTGTCTCTCTCTCTCTCTTTCTGTTACTGACTCAGTCTCTTTGTCTGTTTCATTCTATGTTTCTCTCAATTTCTCATTCTCTCTGTCTCTCTCCATCTCTCTCTCTCCTGTCTTTTATTCTCTGTCTCTGCTTGTCCCTCTCTCTCCATCTCTCTCTCCTCATCTCTATAATTCTGTCATTCTTTCTTCACCTCTCTCTGTCTTTCTCTCCATCTATCTTTCCACCTCTGTCTGTCTGTCCCTGCTTCTCTCTCATTCTATCTCTCCATCTCTGTGTCTCTCTCATTCTCCCTGTCTCTCTCTTTCCCTTCCCTTCACTTTCCAGTACACTGGTGTAAGGAGGGAAAGGAAGATGAGGAAGGTGACCCTGCCTTCACAGCTGCACTTCCCGGGAGCAGCGCAGGCCAGCATGGCAGCTGCAAGAGTGCACTCTCACCCTCCTGAAAAGCCCTCCACCTGAACATGCTGGGCCCCGAGGCCATGCCTGGAAGTAGGACTGGCCTCACCTGCCACCTGCACCTGCACAATGGCCTTGCCGAACTTTACACCATCCTTGAAGTGGCAGCAGTATGTCTCGTTGTCCCTGTGAATCCTCACCATGGCCTTGCCCCCGGCCACGTGGTCACTCACGAAGGTTGTCCTTCCTCTGTACTATGACTTTTGCTCTCTATCCATGTCCATCCCTCTCTCATGCACGTGCACAGCCAGGGAGGCCTGGCACCTGTACCACCTCAGCTCCATGTCCTCGGCACTGATATTGGGGAACAGTTGATACTGTAACTCTACATGTCCCCCAGCCATGGCCAGAATAGGGGCATGAGGCCCAATGACATCAAAGTCAGCTTTCTCTGGGAGAGGCAGATCAGAAAGGGCTGGGTTAGCTATGTGTGGGGAGGCCAGGGCGCTTTCCCCCTGCCCCTCCCTCATCTTGGAAGCTTTGGGGACCTCTTGAGCCCGAGCTGCTGGGATATGCTTCAGCTTCCTGCCATGCTGGACACACACCTCCTATGCCAGAGCACCTGCCTCGACTTGCACAAGAGTCTGTCCCACAGTTTTGACAGATGTTGGCCAGTGGGAGCTGCAGGAAGACCAGGGTGACAAAGCAGATGGGCAGGAAGTCCTCTCGATCGCACATCATTGCCATTCCTGCCAGGTCAGAGCCACGCACTGTCACTGGGAGAGGAGCCACTGCCAGGAAGCTAACAGGTGCAGAGGAAAAATGCCATGGAATAAAAAGAAGAAAAGGTCATTCACTCTCACTCTCAAACAAGTTATTAATGCTATAAATGGAGACACAGCAAGCCTCATGTGCTCCTTTACCCATCTTCTCACGGGTAACACACCTCTCACCCTAGTCCCTCTGTGGAATTCCACAAGGACATCCAGGAGGGAAGGGGTTTGATTTTCTAACCTGCTCATGAAGAGCCGTAGCCCAATCTCTAGCTGGAGACTGTCATGAAACACCAGAATGCTGGAGGAGAAAACCCAGACTCGGATTAAGCAAATTCGAGGTCAGAATGACATCAGGGGATTCCCTTAATATCCCTTGCTTTCCCGCTGTCCCCATGGGGACTTCTATAGTCAGGGGCTGGGGTCTGGGCCCAATCCTCAGAGCTCTTCAGCTGGGATGGGCAGGCCAAGACCCTCATGAGTTTCTTGTGAGCATTTCTCGTAACCTCGGTTTAGAGAGCAGGTATTGGGAAAAAGGTTTGTGGCCTTGGGCGGTTCTTCCCAGCACAGCCATCCATGTTGGGCATTTACGTGTGTTATTAGGGAGTTGTGTGGGCACAGGCTCTTGTCCTATTTGGTTCTTGCCTTCCAGGAAGACCCTGTGGTCCTTCTGCCCCTTGGGGATGGGGAGAGGTTGGAGGAAGCAGAAACACTGAAGAGTGAACAGCGTCCTGACCATAGGAAATGCTCACCTGGCACCGAGAGCTGCTGCAGCTTCCTTGGGAAGTCCTGGCAACTTTAGGGGAATTAATTTAGTTTCCTGCCAACTTCAGGTGGGGTGTGACCCAGGCCAAACATGCTGTCTCCAGGCGGTGATGTGAAAGGCAGCCTCGACATCTGGCAAAAGCTACCAACTCCCCCGGTTTCCAGAGATTCTTCCTTTTGTTTTTTTTTTGCAAAAGTATGTAACTGTGCCTTTTGGGCAGTTGCAATAGAGGACAAAAAAGGCTTCCCATAGAGTGTGATCCCCAGTGTGGAACACCCCAGGGCTGGGGAGCAGGAGATACTGCCCGTGGGGAGGAGACAGGCCTCAAGATGGGACCCAGGCCAACTGAAGGAGCTGTGAATGCAGGTAAAGCCTGCAGTTATCTGGCAGTGTGCAGGCCCAGCCTAGCTGGCCCGGGTCCTTCAGGAAAGGTGTTTATGATCATGTCACAATGGCCTAATTCCCATATTGTCCCGGAGGGATGTTCAGGGCTCATCTTCCCCAGCCTTTCACTGCCCTCCATGGCCGTGGGGTCATAGATGTCTGTTCTCATTGGCAGCCTCCCTGACCCAGCTTAGAACCTTCATGCTGATTTCTTGCACCCAGCGGCCAGGCCCATTCCCTCCTCACCTTCTTGTTTGAAGACTCAAAAGTCTGGGCCTTTTCCTGGGTGGTTTTTGTGAGAAAGGAGTCCTTGCTTTCCTAGAGGGAGGAGCTTTATCTGAACTCTGCAGACAGGTGCTGAGCACTCCCCATGCCCACGGGCGGTGGAGGAAATCCAAGTGCCAGGTCCCTCCTATATCCCTCCTGGGGGAGTGTCCCTTTGGTCAACCAGTTGTTCCCCCTTTTATATGTCAGCATGTAAGAATTATGTTGTCCCCGTGATCTGCTTTTACCAGACAATGACGTGACCTAAAACTCGACTCACTTGTCTTTTTAAAAAAATTAATTGGCCAGGTGTGGTGGCTCACACCTGTAATCCCAGTACTTTGGGAGGCCGAGGCAGGCAGATAGCCTGAGGTCAGGTATTCAAGACCATTCTGGCCAACATGGTGAGAACCCGTCTCTACTAAAAATACAAAAAAAATTAGCCCGGCATGGTGGCCTGCGCCTGTAATCCCAGATACTTGGGAGGCGGAGGCAGGGGAATTGCTTGAACCAGGGAGGTGGAGGTTGCAGTGAGCTAAGATCATGCTACTGCACTACGGCCTGGGTGACAGAGTGAAACTCTGCCTCAAAAAAAGAAAAAAAAAATTAATATATTGTTAAAGACAGGGTCTCATCCTGTCACCCAGGCTGAAGTACAGAGGTGTGATCTCTGCTCACCGCATTCTTGATCTCCCAGACTCAAGCAATCCTCCCATCTCAGCCTCCCAAGTAGCTGGGACCACAGGTGCACCATCATGCCTGGCTAAATTTTTGGTATTTTTTGTAGAGATAAAGTCTTGCTATGTTTCCCAGGCTTGTCTTGAACTGCCAGGCTTAAGCGATCCTCCCACTTCAGCTTATCAAAGTGCTGTGGTTACTGGCATGAGCCACTGTGCTGCATCCAGTCACACTTGTCCCGATGACTTGGGAAGGAGGGCTCAGGTTTGAACAATCTAGAGAGAGCTGCTACGATGTACAGAGCACACTGTGTTGACAACAGATTGTGATGCCTGTTGTCAGACGAAGAGTCATGAGCACTGGGAGAAGCTATGGCGGAGAAGGGTGTCCTGGTGGTGTGTGCTTTCAGCCCATGGGTAGGTCACTTGACACAGTGGTCCTTCTGTGCATGAGCCCATGTGTGGCCCAGAGTCTCTCAGGTGGGCAGCCAGGGCTCCTGCAGACACATTCAGCTCAACCCACCTCAGGTACAATGTTTAAAGTTCAAAGGCAAGAAGACAGGAGGTCACACACTTTACAATTCCCTTCATATGAAATGACCAGACAGGTAAATACAGGGACAGAAAGAAAACTGTGGTTGTTGGGGCTGAGGAGATGGGGGAGATGGAAGTGGAGATGAGGAATAACTGTTTAATATTTTTGGGGTTTTACTTAGGGTGATGAAAATATTTTGGAACTAGATAGAGATGGTGGTTGCAAAACATTGGGAACGTACTTAGTGCCACCAAATGGTATACTTTAAAATGGTCAATTTTATATTATATAAATTTTATCTCAATTGACAAAAAAGAAAAATATTAAAAAAAGAAAAAACAGAAGAAAAGGAAAAACAACAGAGAGTGAGAGAGAGGAGAGAGAGAGAAAACAAAGAAAGAAAGAAAGAAAGAAAAAAGAGCTGCATATCCACCCTCTTGTGGATGGGATTATGTTTAGAAAACAAGAAAACCCCCAAATCGCCTTTGTTAAAATGTGATTGTCTGGTCTTTGGTGCCCTCTGCAGGAATGTGTGTCAGTGCACCAGTCCCTCTTCCCAGTTTTCTTTTCTTTTTCTTCTTTTCCTCAACTTTTATTTTAAATTCAGGGGGTACATGTGCAGGTTTGTCACATGGATTTATTGCATGACGCTGAGGTTTGGGATCTGAGAGATCCTGTCACTCAGGTAGTGAGCATAGTACTTAATAAGTTAGTTTTTCAACCCTTTCCTTTTCCCTTCCTCTCTCCTCCAGTAGTCCCCAGGGTCTCTTGTTCTCATCCTTATGTCCATGTGTGCCCAGTGTTTAGCTCCCACTTATAATTGAGAATGCATAGCATTTGGTTTTCTGTTCCTGTATTAATTCACTTAAGATAATGGTCTCCAGCTGCATCCATGTTGCTGCAAAGGACATAATTTCACTTTTTTATGGCTGTGTAGTATTCCCTGGTGTATATGTACCACATTTTCTTTATCCAGTCCTCCAATGACAGGCACCTAAGTTGATTCCATTTCTTTGCTATTGTGAATTGTGCTGCAATAAACATATGAGTGCACGTGTCTTTTTGGTAGAATGATTTCTTTTCCTTTGGTTATATACCCAATAATGGCATTGCTGGGTCAAATGGTAGCTCTACTTTTAGTTCTTTCAGAAACCTCTGAACTGCTTTCCATGCTAGCTGAGCTAATACACTCCCACACGGTGTATAAAGGTTGCCTTTTTCTGTACAAATTTGCCAACATCTGTTAATTTTTTGACTTTTTGGTAATCGCTATTCTGACTGGTGTGAGATGGTGTCTCATTGTGATTTTGATTTGCATTTCTGATGATTAGTTATGTTGAGCATTTTTTCACGTTTTTTGGCTGCATGTATGTCTTTTTGAGACGTGTCTGTTCAAGTCCTTTGTCCATTTTTAAATGGGGTTATTTGTTTTTAGCTTGTTGAATTGTTTAGGTTCCTTACAGATTCTGGATCTCAGCTCTTTGCGGATAGTTTGTGGTATTTCGTGAGTATTTGAGTTTGTGAATATTTTCTCCTGTTCTGCAGGTTGTCTGTTTACTCCATTGATGGCTGCTTTTGCTGTGCAGAAGCCCAGTTTTCCCTAAGGCCCCCAAGAAGTCAGTGAGATTTTCTGTCAGAAGGAGTCCTCTTGTATTTCCCTCCCCCTCCATCTGCTCTGGACCTGGGAGCCAGCTTTGCTGTCTGGGCCCTGAGCAGGCCAGTTTGTGTCCTCTTTTCTCAAAGCCCTTCTGAAAACAGTTCAACTGGTGTTTTCCCTGTAGACCCTCCCTCTGTCCTATAATGAGACCAAATCCATAGGGGCAGTCTTGGAGGACAAATGGTACTTTTCCTAATCTCTCCTCCTTCTCCCTATCTCCCTGCACAAACTTTCTGCTTCCCATAACCCCTGGGACTGTGTGCACAGGGATTCCGGATCCTCTAAGTATTTAAAACAATATTTACCCAAGTCATGGATGATTTGTCTCACCTCACTCTTGGATGGTAAATTCACTCCCTGAGGCTTTGCAGTTTCTGCCTACACACTGTCTAGTC